AGGTCAAGGCTCAACTGATTGGTTTGCTCCTCGAGACTTTCTATAACCTGGCGAGCGGCCATGAGCTGGCCTTGAACAGTATCTCTTTCAGTGCGGTATCGATTCAGGTGACCGTTCATGTATGCGTAAAGGGAATCAGCATTAGTTTCGAACTGTTGCCTAAAATTTTTGACTGTGGTAGGGGGAGCCCAACCACGAGAGTAGTCAGTAGTCATGTTGCACGGCGTGGATAAGGACGCAACGTAATCTCGGGGATGAGGGTTTGATAGTGTTCCACGGGGTGCGTTGTATAGCCTAGTAAAGATCTAGGTGGTAATTGAAGGTTCTAAATGGGTCAAAGGAATGACAGGTCTTCTCTAGGAAGAGATGAATGGGCAACTAGTTGCAGTAGGTGTTACACGTGGGTCTTGCTGATGAAGAACTGAGCAATGGATAAATGGTCTTCCCGAAGAAGAGATGGGTAAACAAATGTATTGTAAAGGGTAAATAAAGAAGACGTTGCGTGAGGAGTAAATCTCTCTCACGCCGAACTATTATATACAAGAGTAGAAGCCTTTGCCAACCGGAATTAATCGTAATCAATTCTTGCCAATATCTTCGCATTAATGGCTGTGTTCTTGTCCTTCTCTTCATGACTCTCTTGCATATCCTTACATGACTTTTTACACGACTAATTGTATAGGGGAAGCTATTATTAAATTGATGTCTTTAATTAACTACCCCTTCATCTTATCACGAATTAAAATTAGTATTAAAATTCTAATTACGGATCCGTGAAAGTTTGTCAGATATATTTTGAAGTGTCAAGCCAAGTCTTCTTATTGTCCTTATTTCAATACATTGATCGCGAGTTAGATGCTTGCAAACTTTAGTTTCCGGAGCAGAATTTTGGAGAGACATTGTTTGCTAGAAGTGAGGATGAGTTGACAGTGATGTTAAGTTTCGATGACTGTGTAGGTCAGGCAGCCAAAAGTGTTGTTGAAAGTGTGCTTTGCTAAGCGATTATTATAAGACGATTAGACCATACTTCATGGCGGGCGGGGTAAGGAGGAGAGATAGTCTAACCTATTGCGAGCTAGCCCAACTGCACCCACAGGGCTAGTCCCTTAAACAACACAGTTTCGAGGTTAACATTTTGGAACCTTGAGGCACTGTAATTACAGTCAAACCCCTATTAGGACGACGTAATCGGGGCCGTGGAGAATATCGACATTCAGTGGATATCGTTGCTCCACAGAAAACTCATTTTTTGGCGGTATTAATAGCACCAATCTGGCAAAAAACCCAGGCTTAGACGATATTCAGAGGTCGAAAAACGATAATAGTGTAATCAGTAAATGTATGGGAACTAAGCCCGTTCTGGAAAAAATATCGTCTTAACGGCAATATCGTCTCAACAGGGGTCTAATATAGAGCGGATTGGTTTGCAAAAGCTTGTGGCTGTTAGGCACAGATTATATCACTCGGTGAAGCGAGTGGGAAAGTGGAGGAGTCTGTAAATCTGTCGTGGAGAGTTATTGGTTACTTCCAATAGGACACTGAATGCTATATAAACTATATTTTGTAATAATAAAATCTAGTGGTTGGTATTTACGTCAATGCGCATTAATAATAACCTCACAATTCATGGGAAATTAGTGACGTGTATTCTACACATCCCTGTCTTTACCATAATTGGAAGCACCAATTTCAACATCTGACTGTACCATCCTTAAGACACTTGATTTGTGTTCATTATCCTGATTTGGCGTCCTATGAGCCCATGCAGGTGGCGATAAACCTATCTATATATTTACAATGGAGGAACCCTCTCGGTAAAAACCCCCTAATCTTTCTGATTTAATTCTTAGAGTTTGCAATTTACCCTTCAGGAAGCATAGGTACACTGTAACGCCGTCGATGTGTACCAATCACGTCCCTTCTGTCGACCCCAACCTTGTACATACTCCGTCTTGTTCCCTGAGCAGCATTTCGGCAGCATTTGTCATGCGGAAATATTCTATCCAACCATGATTAAGAATCCATCGTATGATTCTTTTCATATCGCTAGGATCGTTGATCATTGCTTCAAAGGAGCGATTTCGGGCTTGTCTCCAGATTTCTCCTCTACCAATTGACCACTTAGGGCAGGACATGCATCCATATGACACTGTAATGACATGTAGGTCCTTTCTGCCTACAGGTCGGGAGTATCTATGCCTCGGGTAGTGTACTCTCTCCTATGCCTTCTTCACGACTTCTTTCTAGCAGTAATACCCCCACAGGTCCTCATTCGAGTAAACACTAAAAGGAGCCGTTATCCCGTCATTATCTCCCCTCTCCAGCCAACGAAACGATGGCCATTTGCGGCTGTGTAGCTGCAGGGAAAAGTCTCGAAAACCACTGGGTGCGGGGCTCTCCTATGTCGAAGAGGCCGGCCAGCCTGGCGCAGCAGACCTGTGTATACCTAAGAGCGTCTCTCAACCTTCCTAGCCTCCTCCTTACTCCTCCCTGATTCATGCCGCAGGACAAGTCGTAGGTCGTGAAAGGATGTCAGAAAAGTCTTGGTCGAGAGTGACAATCGCGAAGGAGCCTAGCCTAGCATCCAAAAGTCGTTACGGGCGTGGGTTTGTCGAGTAACTCAAGATTTCAGATGCCCTCATGGCTAGTAGATTCGGAAGTTAAGATTAGTAGGGACAATATTTTTCACGGGTCGAAATCTGCTTTTCATGAGGGCGGAAGGGTCTTTTACTTTGCTTTCGTGGGCTTTTTGTTCGCCCGCCGGTGGGTAGCACATGTTGTGATATAACGAGGGCTTCTCTGACTACCGTTGTAGCGTTTGATACCGCATTATCTTTCCTCTTTCCCAGCATCATTATAGTCGTCTTTGTCGTCTTAGGTGTTATCGGAAGCGTATCTTTGACGGAGGGGGAGATAACTCAGCTCAAAGTTGATAAGGTGTTACTCAATCTCGGCTCTGCAGACTCTATACTGAGAGCTTGAGGCTCGCAGGGGATACCACTGACAGGTGTTGAGAATAGTGCCTTTATTAGATGTTATTATTAATGAGCCGAGGGACTTCATCTCTTCTTCCTCAGCGCAAAGTTAGCTACAAGAAAGCTTGATAATTTCTCGGCTTACATCAATTACACTATCAATGTCTCAATAACAAAGCCGTAATATCATAATTGGCCCTTCCACCATCTGAACCAACTATACCCTGCCTCTGACAGACTAGATGGAAAGGCAAAGTAAGCCTTACTGCGCTTTCTGGAACCATTCTTTTGGCGAAACAAACACTATGTTTCCTCCTTTGTACCCTTGTCTAACAGATTAGCTAAGATTTACCCGGAAATAATACATACAATATTCAACATACCACTCATACCACGCAGTTTTAGACCGGGAATATAGCATGCAGACCAATATTTCATTATAACTGCTCCACTGTCATCGAAGGTCGAAACATGCCAATGCGGAGGGTCCAGAAACAATGGTCTACGTGGTTATGAAACAAATATTTCCAACACAGCCGTTAGAAGGTAGGACATTGGAGTCTTAATGGCATAAAGTATGTGAGTGCTGTTAATGACACAGCAAGTGTGGCTCTCAGTAAATTAGAGGTCACAATGTGATGCTTTGTAATCTTTAGTGTCGCCCGCAAAGTGACCACCTATACACTCGAGGTATAAACTTATTAGCGCAATACCTTTACAATCTTACAGCTGATATTCGGTTTCTTTCTTGAAAATATTACCACGATAGAAGGATATATTAATGGTTCACTCTTAACAATGTCTCAGTGTCTCATTCATTGACTTGCGATGGGATTATCTTCGTGGCCGCGTCGCGAGAGACACTCGTGTAGTTAGTAATGGGCGTTTTGCGGGGTGAATCTGTAGCACAGGTGCTGATAAGAATTAGAGTGAAGAGAGGCCACATTCGGGACTGTGCTTGTTGACTCCTTGGCACAAAGCTGTCGCAGATATGTGCCAATTTAGAAAATGAAGACAAAGCTTTACGACTTACTTGACTCAAGAGAACAGTTGAACAAATTAACTTCCTCATTTAAGGCTACCTGTCTATGTTCCACATGACGAGGCGTCCATCATAGATTAGGTTGAATTCAAACCCCCCCTTCGGCCATGGAACGGTGAATCGGCGAGCAAGGAAGATGGGGATTCCAGTGGTAATTCTTGTTGTGAAGATGTGAGTTTCATCTCTCTTTGGTGACCAACAATGTCGCTTTTAGAAGTAAAAACAAAACAACTATCGGAAGGTGAAGTCTAGACCCAGAGCTTTGCGATAGTTCAAAGGCCCTGATAAATACCCAAGCGACACTTTGACTCTGTTTATATCTTCATCATCGAAAATAGTCCACACCTCCCTCAATCACTTCAAAATAGATGGCTATTTGAATTATCGTCATTGGCTAGGAGTATTATCTGGATTTTCGTAGAACGTGAATGTATGTGGATAACACTGTGCAAGTTTATTATCGTGATGCAAAGCTGCTGCGCATGAGAGAATGGCCCCTATAGGCAGCATTACGTAGTCCACAACCTTTACTCGTTTTATGGAAACGAAGGCACGAAGGTAAATGGCGGTATTTGGTTTTCTCACCTGTGGCTACAGATTCATATGATAGAGTGCAATTATCCTAAATATCTTCAGCCCCGGATCGCGATTGTGCCTGCGTGACAGTGCATCGCCAACAGTCATATCCGAAACACCGCCCGCTACTCTTTTGCGTCGCGGCATGGATTAAATTTGTAAGATGGTCTACAGACTGAAGAAGGTTTATGACCCTTCCGTATGTTTTGCATTGCGATTTAAGTTTCTACGGTTGTTTTGCTTCAAACATGGGAAGAGGATCTGTAAATCTCATTACCTCCGCCATATTTCCGTTGTTACGTTTCCCTAGGAATTTACCAAATTGCCATCAAAATATACTGGGTGAAAATACCGGCTAGATTGACACACCACAAATCTGAATGAATTATATCGAATATCGCGAATAAATGGCCGATACTCGACCTACTGTCGCCGAATTGGTGGAAAAACTCCATAGCAATATTGACTGGATCAGTCAAATTGTTCTCAAACTCTCTGATGATACCTATAATCGCGAAATCGAACGTCTCTCGCTCGAGAGGGAGAGTGCAATCCATAGTTTACGAGAAGAGCGTGTCGATGCATTGAAAAAACTCCTTGCCGAGCGGGCTGTTGAAAAAGAAGAAACGGAGATAAGAAGACAGAGAGAAAAGGAAGTTATAGATGAAAAAAGAGCAAGAGAATGGGAAGAAATATTAATGAGGAGAAAGAAAGAAGATCTCGAACGAATACGAATTTTAGAGATCGAAGATTTAGAGAAAGAGCGAATCAGGAGCGAGCATGATGAAGAGCGAGAAAGACAACGAGAAGAAGAGGAGAGATCTCTATTCGAAAAATGCGAAGATGAAATAGAAAGATTAGAAAATGAAGCACAGAGGAAGATCGAAGAAGGTCAGGCAGAGTTAAAAAAGTTGGACGAGGATCGAAAAGTGAGTTAAATCCTTGATTGTAATTTCAGTTCCTTCAAAAAAATTTGGGCCGTCATGGTCTCTAATATGCTGATGATTGATCATAGATTATCAACCAACAAATAGAGGCAGCTCTCAGCGCGCCAACTGTTATTCCGAAAATTACATTGAGAACTCGTCGTCCCAAGACTCTCGATTTTTCTCGAGCAGGCACCATCGAAGATTTACACAAAAGAAGTCATACAAGTCTGATAACACCGAAATCAGTAACATCAAAACGAGACGCATCTTCTCCAGGGAATAATTTTGAACCTGACACTGGAAAATTTACGCCGTTATTCATGAACCATGAAAATCTTGATATTTATCAAACTGAAGAATGTTATAGAAATCAAGGAAAAGAGGAGGCTCTACCTGGATTGTCTGCGATAAAGGTTAGCGAGTCTATGCAATCGCATGACCTTCAAAAGGAGATTTTTGAAACGAATTTGAGGGAAACTTCAGAATCAGAAGCGCATGCGAATGAAATATTTAACGGTCAAAAAGCCGAAGTTTTTTCGAACAGTTTTACTTCACAACTAGGAAATTCATCAAAAAAGAATGATCAACAATTCCATTCTAACTTTTCTACTCAAATTTTTAGTGGGGAAATATCTCAAAATTCAGTCTTGTCCTTATCAAAGAATTTATCTCAGAATGAAGTTTACAAAATTGAAACTGAGAAAGAATCGCCATATGAATGCCAAATTTCATCTAAAGAAACTAGTGACTGCTTTGATGAGAAATTAGACACTTCAGATATATCACGTGATTTAAAAAACTTGCAAACTCATTCCAATACCAAAAAATACAACGACAATCTCGTCTTTACTGCATCAAAACCCCAAAATTTTGATACAAATGGCTGTTCAGATGAAATTTCATCGATTAAATCATCGAAAAGAGAAAGCAAAAATGAAGAAGTAGGCGATGTGGATCATAAAAAGCATTCAAGTTCAATAGACATACCTGAATGCAAAAATGACTTCTACATTTCGATTCCTTCTTCTGATAAAACATCATCTATGATGCCTGGTCTTGTATCTAATCCAGGTATTTCGACCGGTGGAAATATTAAACTCACTCCAGCTTCAAAAGAGAAAGAGGAATTCAATTCCATGGTAAATGAGATTCCAAATAATTTAGTCGCAAAAAAAGAGGCCGAGACTTTGACTCATGCATTTACTGAAATCGAAACCAAAACATTTAGTTCTAACATCTCGCTCAACTCGCACGAGACTTCAAATGACTTCATGGAACTTTCCAATGCATTCAATTCACTAAATTCTATCAAAAAAAGCGAAATAATCTCTTCTACAGATCAAATACCAGACATATTGAAAGAATCCATCACCTTTCACACTAGCAACCAAAAGGTACTTGATTCTACAACATATGAAAGAAACTTGCAAACAGTAAATTCAAATTTGGATTCGACTTGTCAGTCCTTTCATTCTACGGAGAACTTAGGGATATCTAGCTCCCAATTATTTGAAATCAGAACATTAAAGAGCGAAAAAGAAAGTGCATTGAAAACTGTTCCATATGATAATGTTAACTCTCTTGTGCTATCTTCCCAAGACGAAGGAGCCACCAAATTTTACGATCTGCAAAATTCTCAACCAAGCCCCTCCTTTGACGTTCATAGAAATTTAACCTCAGACAACTATTATGTTGACTCGAAATATCAAATCGGAGAGAACATTCCACTTGCGTCTAGTTATCAAATACAAGCTATAAAAGATACCAAAGATGACATGGACCAAACCGATGAAAAAATATCACCTCCTCTATTCAATGGAAACGCCTCAGCATTTACGAGTGAGATCAGAATTAGTTCAACAATAAATAAAGTTATCTCTCAATCACAAGACAAGAGCTGGTGCACGAATGAAGTAGTTAACGCGACAGAAGTAATTCAAGAACCTGAGGAGTCTGGAATTAAAGACACTCAAATTTCTGATGCAAAAACTGTTGAGTCATCTTATCACGAGATCGAGCAAGAATCACTTGATGTATCTAGAGTCGAAACGTCGTCGTCGATCATAGAGACGATAGAATGCTCTCATGATGAAGAGAAAGTGAGCGAGCAATCAGAAGAGAAGAACGAATGCACGACCGAAGTGGTTTACACGACAGAAGTCATTCAAATTTCTGATGCAAAAACTGATGAGTCATCTTATCATGAGATCGAGCAAGAATTACTTGATGTATCTAGAGTCGAAACGTCATCGTCGATCATAGAGACGATAGAATGCTCTCATGATGAAGAGAAAGTGAGCGAGCAATCAGAGGAGAAGAACGAATGCACGACCGAAGTGGTTTACACGACAGAAGTCATTCGAATTTCTGAGGAAGCTGAAATTAAAGACACTCAAATTTCTGATGCAAAAACTGTTGAGTCATCTTATCACGAGATCGAGCAAGAATCACTTGATGTATCTAGAGTCGAAACGTCATCGTCGATCATAGAGACGATAGAATGCTCTCATGATGAAGAGAAAGTGAGCGAGCAATCAGAAGAGAAGAACGAATGCACGACCGAAGTAGTTTACACGACAGAAGTCATTCAAATTTCTGATGCAAAAACTGTTGAGTCATCTTATCACGAGATCGAGCAAGAATCACTTGATGTATCTAGAGTCGAAACGTCATCGTCGATCATAGAGACGATAGAATGCTCTCATGATGAAGAGAAAGTGAGCGAGCAATCAGAAGAGAAGAACGAATGCACGACCGAAGTGGTTTACACGACAGAAGTCATTCAAATTTCTGATGCAAAAACTGTTGAGTCATCTTATCATGAGATCGAGCAAGAATTACTTGATGTATCTAGAGTCGAAACGTCATCGTCGATCATAGAGACGATAGAATGCTCTCATGATGAAGAGAAAGTGAGCGTGCAATCAGAAGAGAAGAGCGAATGTACGACCGAAGTGGTTTACACGACAGAAGTCATTCGAATTTCTGAGGAAGCTGAAATTAAAGACACTCAAATTTCTGATGCAAAAACTGTTGAGTCATCTTATCACGAGATCGAGCAAGAATCACTTGATGTATCTAGAGTCGAAACGTCATCGTCGATCATAGAGACGATAGAATGCTCTCATGATGAAGAGAAAGTGAGCGAGCAATCAGAAGAGAAGAACGAATGCACGACCGAAGTGGTTTACACGACAGAAGTCAATCAAATTTCTGAAGAAGCGGAAATTAAAGACACTCAAATTTCTGATGCAAAAACTGTTGAGTCATCTTATCACGAGATCGAGCAAGAATCACTTGATATTTCTAGAGTCGAAACGTCATCGTCGATCACAGAGACGATAGAATGCTCTCATGATGAAGAGAAAGTGAGCGAGCAATCAGAAGAGAAGAGCGAATGCACGACCGAAGTAATTTACACGACAGAAGTCATTCGAATTTCTGAGGAAGCTGAAATTAAAGACACTCAAATTTCTGATGCAAAAACTGTTGAGTCATCTTATCACGAGATCGAGCAAGAATCACTTGATGTATCTAGAGTCGAAACGTCATCGTCGATCATAGAGACGATAGAAAGCTCTCATGATAAAGAGAAAGTGAGCGAGCAATCAGAAGAGAAGAGCGAATGTACGACCGAAGTAGTTTACACGACAGAAGTCATTCAAATTTCTGATGCAAAAACTGTTGAGTCATCTTATCACGAGATCGAGCAAGAATTACTTGATATTTCTAGAGTCGAAACGTCATCGTCGATCATAGAGACGATAGAATGCTCTCATGATGAAGAGAAAGTGAGCGAGCAATCAGAAGAGAAGAGCGAATGTACGACCGAAGTAGTTTACACGACAGAAGTCATTCAAATTTCTGATGCAGAAACTGTTGAATCATCTTATCATGAGATCGAGCAAGAATCACTTGATATTTCTAGAGTCGAAACGTCATCGTCGATCATAGAGACGATAGAATGCTCTCATGATGAAGAGAAAGTGAGCGAGCAATCAGAGGAGAAGAACGAATGCACGACCGAAGTGGTTTACACGACAGAAGTCATTCAAATTTCTGATGCAAAAACTGTTGAGTCATCTTATCATGAGATCGAGCAAGAATCACTTGATATTTCTAGAGTCGAAACGTCATCGTCGATCACAGAGACGATAGAATGCTCTCATGATGAAGAGAAAGTGAGCGAGCAATCAGAAGAGAAGAGCGAATGTACGACCGAAGTAGTTTACACGACAGAAGTCATTCAAATTTCTGATGCAGAAACTGTTGAATCATCTTATCATGAGATCGAGCAAGAATCACTTGATATTTCTAGAGTCGAAACGTCATCGTCGATCACAGAGACGATAGAATGCTCTCATGATGAAGAGAAAGTGAGCGAGCAATCAGAAGAGAAGAGCGAATGTACGACCGAAGTAGTTTACACGACAGAAGTCATTCAAATTTCTGATGCAAAAACTGTTGAGTCATCTTATCATGAGATCGAGCAAGAATCACTTGATATTTCTAGAGTCGAAACGTCATCGTCGATCACAGAGACGATAGAATGCTCTCATGATGAAGAGAAAGTGAGCGAGCAATCAGAGGAGAAGAGCGAATGTACGACCGAAGTAGTTTACACGACAGAAGTCATTCAAATTTCTGATGCAAAAACTGTTGAGTCATCTTATCATGAGATCGAGCAAGAATCACTTGATGTATCTAGAGTCGAAAAGTCATCGTCGATCATAGAGACGATAGAATGCTCTCATGATGAAGAGAAAGTGAGCGAGCAATCAGAAGAGAAGAGCGAATGTACGACCGAAGTAGTTTACACGACAGAAGTCATTCAAATTTCTGATGCAAAAACTGTTGAGTCATCTTATCATGAGATCGAGCAAGAATCACTTGATATTTCTAGAGTCGAAACGTCATCGTCGATCACAGAGACGATAGAATGCTCTCATGATGAAGAGAAAGTTAGCGAGCAATCAGAAGAGAAGAGCGAATGCACGACCGAAGTAGTTTACACGACAGAAGTCATTCAAATTTCTGAGGAAGCTGAAATTAAAGACACTCAAATTTCTGATGCAAAAACTGTTGAGTCATCTTATCACGAGATCGAGCAAGAATCACTTGATGTATCTAGAGTCGAAACGTCATCGTCGACCATAGAGACGATAGAATGCTCTCATGATGAAGAGAAAGTTAGCGAGCAATCAGAAGAGAAGAGCGAATGCACGACTGAAGAGGTTTTTACGACAGAAGTCATTCAGAAATCTGACGATGGATATAGCGATGTAAAAGACTGCACTGAAGAAATAAAAGGTGATAAAAACCGCATACATGATTTACGTACATCTCATGGAATCTCTCTTTCATCAATCATCATGGAATGCGACCCAATAGATGTAAGAGAAAATCTGACTTCTACCAATGAAGATAACAAATGCATGGCGGAAATAGAAGAGACACTTGTGACAGGTGAATGGAAGAACGTGATATCGCTTGACGACGTTCAAATTTTATCGATGAAGAAGATGATTGAAGATTTACCATCGGCTTCGGATAGAATATCTTTTGAAACAGAGATCGATAAAATTTTCACGAAAGGTGCGGAAACATCTAAAGTCGGGATGGATTTGAGGATGTCTCCATCGCTACGATATAAGAGGAATATTAATAGAGATTTGAATGCATTGTCTGGATGGGATAAAACCTCTATTCAAAATTCGAACGAAATTTCCAATGCGCAGCCAAGTTCTACTTTGACATCTAATCTCAAGATATCGCCCAATACAGAAGAGATTCATCCTTCAATCGATTCGGAATTTTTGTCGATTGCAGGGAAACCGAAAACTTTAATATATGATGAATATCAACTTTGTATAAATACAATAAATAAACGTGTTTCAGGCTTGAAAAGGAGTCCAAATCCTTTAGTGACAAATGATGGACCTTTGAAAACGGATTCTATTGATCTACAAAATCAGGTAGAGAATACAATAGATACTGTGAAACTTCAAAATTTTAATGAACCAACCCTTAATTTGAATCATATTCATACCTCTTTCGTCGAGGCATGGAGCAGGAAACACCACGAAAATAATTTAGATTCAGAATTATATGAAGATAAACTTCCTACATCATCTGTGATGGAGGAATTTTTTGATTGCTATTCTGATAACTCAAATTATGAATTCAATCCTGGTCAAGAAAGCGAGAAAGAAGCAACAAATATGGAATATATTCAAAGCTTTCTAGCCATGGATGAAAAACCAAATGATTTTATAACACATGAGCAGTCTGAGTTATCAGAAGGCTATAGAGGAGACAAAGATGCTAAAAGTAAATTTCAGCAAAATTTTGATGTAAGTAATTAAGATATCTTCTTATTTCTAAATAAAAAAGTGCCTGAAGAAGTTGAAATTAACATCCGATAGAACCTTGAATCCATAAGCGAGGTCGATGAAATATGCGACCTCAGCATAATTGAGGATCAGACTTTTTCTAGATCTGAAGAAAACTTGAATAAAACACATCAGAAATCATCAGATAGTTCTCGTTATTGTTTTAAAGCTGATCAGGAAATATTTACCGATCGCATCGAAGACGTCCAAAAAATAAATCATAGACACGAATCTTCTCTCAGCATTAGCGAGTCAATACCGACATACAAATTTTCAGAGAGCACGTCGACACCAACTAGTCCATCTGAAGCTCCATCATCTCCATTCCACGAAAATCCAATAGATGAACCTATAATTTCATCTACATGGCAAGGAAATATGACAGGACCGGGCTGTATGGAAGCTCAAGACTTTAAGGAATTTTCGACTATTGTTTCCAAAAAATCCGATATCTGCGAGTCACATCCTATATCAGATCAAGCTTCATCACTTGAGAATCAAGTGTATCTACCTGATAGGCCTAGCGAAGATAATCTGACCGAGACACCATTAACATCTAAAAATCTAGAACAGCTCATGATGCAACAAAAAGAATTATCTGAGAGTAATCCAGATTTTTCGAATACAAATAAAAGATATCCGATCTCAGCCCAAACCTCAAAAATTATGATCCAGCAAAGAATTGGTAATACGAATTTCCATGAAAACTCACCCACATCCTCAGTAAATTCAAGCAATATTCTCACAAAAAATAATATACAGACAAAAACAACATCTCCTGCATCCTCTGTAAAATCCTTCAATCTACCTTCTTCTCCTTTCCAAAAAGCTCGTGCTTTATTTGAATCTCAGCAGCAAAATAAGCAACAATTTAAACAAAACCCCACAAGGCCATTGTCAGGCTTTTTTGCTCATCGTGGCGTGGGGCTTCCTGCATATAGTCATTCTCCGAGTAATCTTCAATTGGCCAATTTCCGTTCTCCAATCATGGAAGTAAATGAAACAAGGGAAATAAATGAAAAGATTGGAGACCCTTCAATAGTTCCTCTTCCAAATTCGCCGGATTGTGGCAGCGCAAGTGCCCTTAGCAGTCATAGTATTCACAGCATTTCGCATCCTGGCACTTGGTCTCCACAGGCTCAATCAAAAGCTGCTTACCGTCCTAATACACCTGAAAGGTCGAGGCTCCTTTTTTTTGAGAATTTGCAGCGGTCTGTCTAAATAATCTTGGTTATTTCTATAGATTCAAGTATCTTATTCTTCACCTTGAAACTTAAATGTTTAATATTCCGCGACAGTAATTTCCTTATATTAATCTTTATCACCGACATCCCTGTCATCTTGATGGTTGAAAATTAAGCTTGTTCAATGGCTTACTTGAGTGGATTTGAATGAGCAATCTTGCGCTGATAAGTAAATGGTTGGCGAACAGGAAGCATTTTAATTTTTAACTAGTAGCAAACTGATTCATTGGATGAAGGTTATTGTCCAAAAAAAATTAAATTCGGCGGGAATATAGCATTGAGGTGGATTGAAATATCTTTAGAATATTTCATATAATAAAAGTCTGTAAATAATAGCAGTGTCTTCCGTCGCAATTTTATATAGTTTATCTCTTCTAGCTGGCAATAAAAGTAAGAAAATATGTCTTATTAATAATTGGAAGTAGACTTATGCTTGCATAAGTCTGGGTCCATTCCAAAAGCGAAAGTAAGATCTAAGTGCATGCTTTTCTTACTTGTTATGATTCTCAGGACGTTTTTAGAGGCAGGGTTTGTGTTGCTAAAACTAACTAGAAATATATTTGTTTATTGTTCGATCTACATCGCAGACAATCTAGCACGTTGGGTTTCTCAATGACCCGGGGCTAATCTCATAATATGCTGCTCTCGCCTTTTGTTACTTGTGAGATCATTGATATATTGTCCGTGATGAACACCTATTCAGCTCAGTATTTACCCATAGAATTCAGCCGCCTTTTTCACGGAACCCTCTAACCAAAAAAAATAAAAATGGTAGCAATGGAAAATGCGTGTGCGGTAAAAAGTTTCAAAAAACCTGCAGCCCCAGCCAGACAAGGCCTAGACAAATTTTCATAGCTAAATAGCTGAATACAATATGAATTAAAAAAAAAAAGGCCCCGACAATAGGACAACATGAGGTGCGCATGATCATCTTTATCTTCTGTAGTAATATTAGGGACCAACTTGATCCAATCCACCATCATATTGTAATTCTGAGCTGAGAGGTTTATAGCAATTATATGATTCTACTGCTCTTCGGTGGATGGCATAGGCTCATGCACAACAGTAAGTCGCGGAGATGGCACGATGGATACTAAATGCGTATCACTATGGCTAATACGTGTCAGTTGGTATTAAAAATGTACTTGTACTGACGATAGTGATCTACGAAGGAGATACTTGATACGCATTTCAACGACTGATAACATCATCTAATGGATGATGTGAAGTATGATTTTGTATGGATAGATATCTCACTAAAACCGGCAAGTGGAGATATTATAAGGTACATGAACAGCATTTGTTCACCAGCTTATGTTTTCCACCCTTTTCTAACTCAGCAGCCTCGCCGGCAAGGATGAATTCTTCACTTGCCAATAGTGCTGTTGTAATCGCTCAGTATGTGTGACGGGCTGTGCCTGGATTGGGACTGGTCACTAGGACCACCCCAGCTAAATATTTAAGCGTCAACGAAGCAGCGCTTACAGATGCGCGAAAGGGGTTTTTTTTTTTTGCATCAGATTTTAATTGCGTGTGCAGCTATCTAGCTATGACACAATATCAAAGAAAAGTACAGAATAGATGATTCAACGTAAAGGAAGAGCACTCATGCCTCAGATTTCATTTGCAAGTACCACTGCGAAGTTATGGTGGCTTTTTCTTCACCCCAAGTCAACCCTTATCCGTGAATACCCACCCAGGGGAACGTCTCAAAAACCCTGAGTTATCCAGATATGCCTCCGTCATCTTTCAACTTTTCTCCGCGCGAAATATGGTCTGAGGCGTCTCCTTCCCAAGTGGAGTAGGTGCCCAGGCTACTCAGACTATACCAGAGAACACCACCAGGTACGCGAAAGGTTGCATATGTGTGGATCCCGGATATATCTACAGGGCACGAATTAGCTAGATGTAGGAAACACGGTACACACACGTAATCGTAATTATCCTATTGTTACGGTTTGACCGCTATTAGAGCTTAGGTGAATACCTAAGCGGATTGTTGGGAATATTTACAACTAAGCGGTACTGCTAGTCAGGAGGTCGAAGCGTTACTACAACTAAGTAACACCTGGCAATGCGTGGCTGGGTAGCAAGTATTGTGCCTAAGGATAAGTTATCAGTCTGGAGATTGACGAAGGGGACCAATTCTTATAAATACCTGTTAGTCGTAGCTAGAGTTCTCTTTTCTCCTCATATAGTTTAATAAATCGATTTATTCACAACCAACTCGGTTTCCGTCACACCTATGATCTCACGCACAGCAAATCGCACTGTCAGAGCCCGCGACCACAGCAGTAGATCTACTAGCGTTGAGGAGTATGGAATAGTCAATGTATATAGACACATAGACATCCGACACTTGAAGGATACAGAATTCACGTATTAGTCTCAAGCTCTACACAAGATCCGTTGTAGTTAGGAGCCACGAGACACCACGTGATATCACCCCAATCTTACATCCACACCCATTGTATACTAAGTATACAACGCGCGCTCGGAACCTCATAGGGAAGAATGCAAGGTTGCGCATAAGGAAAGACCTAAATGCCGCATAAGGATTAATGCAAGGTTGCGCATGAGGAAGGACCCAAGGGAGTACGTACTAAGGAGGGGAGGATGTCACGGGAAAGAGGGTAGCCGGGGAGAATGGAGTATTCTCAGGTGGGCTAGGAGGGGAGCTTAAACGCGACGCTGAAAAGGACATAAAAGACAGAAGCCGTCGTAGGCGGAATAGTTTCCCAAGGAAAAATTATCATTTCCTATTGAGTTAACGTCTTCCAAATACTTCTGAATTCTTTAAACCTTTCACAGTATGCTCCTAATCGACTTTGAACTTGATCGTCGACATTGTATTTTGGTCTGTTATCACAGACACGGAAATAGATTCATGAGATTGCTTTATGAGAGGCTAGGGTTGATTCTGATGTAATTTGGTTGAAAATTGTCCCTCTACCTTGAGGCTACGATGTCTTTATATATCTACGTGTTTACCCCCATATTCACCATATCCGCTAGCCATTCTATATCTAGCGTGCATAGCCTGATTTATCTCATGGTTCTGGGATGGAGCTGTGGTTTCCGAATACAGTCAGACCCCTGTTAAGACGATAATTTTTCCAGAACGGATTTCGTTCCCATACATTTACCGATTACACGATTATCGTTCTTCAACCCCTGAACATCGTCTTAACCAGGTTTTTTTGCCAGATTGGTTCCAAAAACTCCGCCAAAAAAAGGGAATTTCTGTATAGCAACGATATGCTCTGCCTGAGGATATTTTTCAAGGCTCCGATTACATCGTCTTAACAGGGGTTTGACTGTAGCAGTATTCTTTTAGCTACTACAAAACGTAGCAGCTTCAGATATAGTTTACCGTGCGATACTTCCACCTGAGCTACATGCCTCCTTGATATGCTGCCGGCTCGGTAATCAGTGAGATAACCGAAGCTAAACCTTGATTACGAACCCATGAATGCCTCAGACAGAAGCCTGCAATCTAACACAATTCCCGTGGTGCCACGGTGTCAAGTTTGCAGTGGGGCTTTGACAGGGAATTCAGCGTGTAAACTAAGACGCCTTAGGCATAGTCACCATCCATATTGGAGTTAGCCCCCGTATTTGTGCAAATTTTTGAAAAATTTTGTATGGCGGTTTTTATCCGTACACCATTGTTTGCAGTGGGTCATTCATTCGTACTAAACCTAATTGGTATAATGATCGGCTGCATAA